TGCAGGGGGTCGGACTCAATGATCTATTGAGGTCCCTTCCGACCCTAACATCTATGAATCTATGAATCTATGCAAACATCCCCCGCCTGCTCTCCCAGCCTCTCCCATGCCAGCCCCACCTGGCCCCAGCTCCTGGTTCTTAAAAAAAAAAAAAAAAAAAAAGAAAAAAAAAAAAAAACAAAAAAAAAAAAGCCCTGCACTCACCGGATGCAGCAGTGGCAATTGGAGCTTCTTGGGGCTTGTGACAGAGCCCCCCCCATGCAGTGCGGTGAGTGCAGGGCTTTTTTTTTTTTTTTTTAAGAACCAGGAGCTGGGGCCAGGTGGGGCAGGCATGGGGGGTGGTGCTGGGAGAGCAGGCAGAGGATGGGAGCTCATGGCAGAGTGCCCCATGCAGCATGGAGTGGGGGAGGGTAGCGGGGATCGCCCCCCTGCCTGGCAGCAGCCAGTGAGTGCTGCTTTTTATTTTAGAGCTGGGATGCTGGGGCTGGGCGGGGCAGCCATTGACGGGGCTGGGAGAGCGGGCGGAGGATGGGGCCTGTTTGATTCGGAGATTCAGCCGAATTGATTCAGGACAGCGATTCAAATCACCAAATCGAATCACTGTCCCCCCAAGTTGGTCGAATCTGAACCCGAAGCGAATACTAGCCACTTTGCACAGGCCTAGTAGGTTCCTATCAGCATCTCAGCCTTTTTGGCTAAGATAAAATGTAGCTAAAGAAGTGGCTGCACCTGCTGCTGTAGGCCAGCAATAAAATCCTGTATGTCCCCTACCAGCAGGGAGGTGCCAGCATGACCTGCATGGGTGACCTCTGTGACATCATGGTGATCACCCATGCCTTCTGCCTCCTGACCTGCTTGGAGAAGACGGTGAGCATCATCGCTGGTTGCACCCTGAAGGAGACCACCTGCAAGAAGATCACAAGGGTGTCCACCGGATGTGACCTGGCCAGCTTTCCGAGTACCTCACTATAAGGAGAGTTTGACTTTGTCTTGTTGTGGAGCTGAGCCTGCAATGCCACACACCACCTTGGGAAGTGCACTGGCTGCAACTGGACTTAGACTGAGGAGCGCCAGGGGCTGGGAGTCTCGCTGCTCCTGGCCTCCAGTGCCAGTCGCATCACCATGACCCCCTTGTATGAGAACCCTCCTGGAGAAGTTCCTGAAGGATACCATCTGAACAAAGTCCACTGGTGATCTCAGGGTGAAACCTGACCAGGGCAAGGTCTTTGAACTCACCTCAAATGAGATGCAAGCAACCACTTTATGCTCAATGGGAACTTCATGCAGCTCATGGACTCGCACTTCATCTGTCATGTCTGCCTCAACTGCATACTGCCCGTCAATGGCACCATCTGGTATGAGAACCATGACAGAAGTGTCGACACTGTGACTATGAGACAGAGCCTCCTCCATGCATCATGTGCCTACAAGCTGCACACCAGAGTGTAGGAGGTGCATTACAACATCATCCAGGACTGGCCCAGGCCATCCCAGCCTCAGTGGGGTCCATGTCCATCAACTCCACTGTCCCAGGCTGTGAAGCCAGCTGTGATTGGACATTGTTCTCCTCAGTCACAACAACAAGTGCATTGTGGTGGTAGATGTCACCATCCCATTCGAGAACTAGCAGCAAACTTTTATCAAGGCACAAAAAGAGAAGCAAGAGAATTACCAGCCTCTGACAGATACCTTGAGGAGTTGGGAATATCATCTGATGGTTGAGGCATTGATCGGTGGGGCACTCGGAGCATAGGACCCCAGCAGCAAGAGTGTCTTGCATACCTCTGTTTATCCTGCTGCTACACCAAGCTGATGTGGTGCCTCATGGTGTCTGACACCGTCCAGTGGTTGAGGGACATCTATGTAGAACACGTCATGGAACAGTGCCAGTACATGGATCCCACCAGACCACTGGCCAGAAGCGATTCAGAAGGGACCACCTGACTGCACCCCTGCTGCTGTACCGAGTTGCCTCCAAGGACTTTTAATGC